ATCTAATTAACATTTATAAATGTGCCGATTCAGTATCATCCATTTCTTGTCTAAGTCATATTGCAAGAATACTTGCTCAAATATTACTGTGGCAGTTCAAACAAATCCAGCATATATAAAATGAACAGCCAGCTCCTTTTGTTTCCTTATATGAGATTTAAACCTGGGTCTGTCAATTTCCAACAAAACTGCCGTTCTTAAGCTGTGAGTTTTCAACTTCTACTGAATTAAGTGTTATAGTAATTGTAAATCTTAATGAACAAGCTCCCATGAGCTCCATCTAAAACTGAACTCCAAAACTCAGGCTACTTGAAGAAAAAGGAGGGGAAAATAGTTCAATTTTTCCCAACTTCCAAAATTGGGCCCCCATATGGATCATATGTTACTAAAAAGAGCTCTCCTTGCGAATGTCTAATTCTGGACACAGACAAACCTTTTATTTTCCAAACTTATGAGAAGAAGAACCAATTAATTAGGTCTCATTGGTGACTTTTATTTCTTCCTTTCTCCCTGACATGACAGTGTCCCATGAACCAGGAAAATTAGAAAATACAGTTCTCTTCAGGTCACGTACTAGGAAACTTGGATGGGGTTGGTTGCTTGAAGCCTCTAAAAGGAAGGGGCTTTTAAGTTTTCAATATAAGCCCCCCTCTTAGAAGTGACACCTTTTCATTTATTTAAAATGCATTTAGGCCACCAATTTTTATAACAGAATAAATACACACAAGCACATGATATGTTAATAAATAATAAACCCAAATTCCACCTGAAGAAAATTAAAATAATTGCTGATAAAGTCTGATCAGGATTAAAAAAAAGCTAAAGGGAAAGCCAAAGAAAGGATGTAGGTATGCAAAGACGGAGGCTCATGGCCTATGTATGGGAACGCCTTACAAAGGCAAGATACCACCCTTTCCCTTGTAATCACCAGCCTACTTGTACTCAGTGAGAAGGGCATCTAACTGAACATAAAGTGCAGGCAGGTTGATAACAGTTGAGGTGTTCCTTCAACTAAACAGACCCACCCAAGATCAAACACAGCATCTTCAGTTGGTCTTAGAAGTGCGGTGATAGCTAGCACAGATGCGATACAGATATGTGAGCTATCTACTTTATCCCTATCAATTCTGCACCAGCTTGGGTTTCTGAATCTTATTTAAGCAGCCACTTGTTGAGTACATTGCAGTAATAATCTTCTTCTTCTTCTTCTTCTACTACTACTTGATTACAGTTATACCCTGCCCTTACATTTGATTACATTTATACCCTACATTTATATCCTTCTTGCAAGGAAACCAGGACAGCTCACAAACTTCTCACAACAATCCTGGCCAAAAGTCACCCAGAGAGCTTGATGTCTGAACAGGGGCTACGACCCAGATCTACCAAGTCCCAGTCCAAGATTCTAAGCCCTAAACTGCAATGGCCCCTTTTCACTTGAATCCATGAAACTATGGAATAGCTTTTCATATTAGGTGCACCACAGCACATCTCTGATAGCTTTCAGAAGAATTCAGGCATAACTTTGCAGACTGCTGATCAGGAGAACTGTGATGTGACACACCATGTCTCTATTTTTTCATTTATGGTTGGTTAAAATGATTGCTGAGAACCAGAATACGTGTATGTTAATACAACATTTAAAAGAGAAGTAAACAGTACACTGGCAAACATCTGAAGGATTCGGCTTCCAAGCCAAAATCTTTCATTCACTGTCAAGGACAAAATCTCCAGAACAGGAATCAAGTTTGCCTGTATTGTTGTCAAGTTGTGGTTTCACAGTACCCTTATACCAATTGCAACAATCACTAAAGATTCGGCCTGACATTGCTCCAGTACAGTGGTTTGCAACCTTTACACAGCTGGGGACCAGCAAAAACAGGAAAACCACTTTGGGGACTACTGAGGCAGAAACAAAAAGCATCATACACATAATACAGAATTCTATGTATTAGTTTCAAAACACAATACCAAAACAAAATGAAAATTCTCCTCAGCAACCAGAAACCGAGAAACAAAAAATGCCAACAAAAGAACAAAATACTGAAATTTGTGCAGTATGGCTCCCAGGCAGCTCCCATTGAACCATCTCTTCTGTTCCCGCCCCCTCTCCTGTGGCACTGGTGCACCCCCCCCCATGAATGTGATGCCAACCAAGGAAGAGGTGGAGCACAGCCAGCCCCTGTTCCAGTCCACTGTGAGTGGGATGTGCCCCCCCACCCTCCATGGACCAGCAGAAAATCTCCCACAGATCAGCCTCAGTCTGCAGACTGGTGGTAGAAAACCCCTGCTCCAGTATAATTTTGCAGAAGAACCATCATGCGTAATTCATTGTATTATGGGATAAAATATGAATAAAAGATGCTGTGTGTTAACAATGATTGATTTGTGAAAACCACATACCAACGTCTGCACTGAAATATCTAAAACATACACTGCCAAAGTGCAGAATAACAAAATTAAAAATACTTCTAGAAATATAAAGGTTCGTGGCTCACCTGGACTATTGATAGGATGGAGAATTTTTTCTTTTAATCCAAAACATAAGCCAAGAAACAGTCCCATTATAATCACAGTTCTAAAGCAATTATGTCCATGCCACTTTGTTTCGCACTCTACACATCTTATGGATGAGCACTTCAATATTTTACTGACTTGCTGTTTCCATACTTTGGATCTTTTGTACATCTCCTTGACTAGACTCAGAAACATAGTATACAAATGCAATACAGTGCATAAAAACAATATAGACAAAAATAAAATAGACCAGTTACTGAAAAAGATATTACTGTAGTCTTGGGAAGTCACAAAGAATAGCACAACTCACTAAAATATTTCCAAAACATTTCTTCTTTGTGTAAGAAAAATGAAAGCTGAATTCAGGGACCCATTAATTCAATTTAAAGAGAATCCTGTCTCTCAAACAATATTCATTTGGACATTCACCAAACAAGATAACATTCAGGGAAAACAACCCAACAGTTTTCTGGCAAAAGGACAAGGGAAAACAACATGTTTGCAATGCTGTTGCAGAGGGATTCCTGAAAACCTGGACCTGGGAAAATTTCAATGGATGAAGAAATGAAATGAGCAGGTGCTTGTGGATTTAATTCTCCATGGGTGAAAGGTTTAATGTTCAGCTATTATTTTTCTACTAATACAAAAACATAACACACACAATGTTCTTGTGTGTGTAGTACTAGGACTGAGATGAAGCTTACCAGAATCCATCCCTCTAGAACTCATGGACTGCTTCCCATGTGCCACCTGGTCTTGCAAAGTTAGCCAAAGCAACAGGCAGTCCATGAATGCTCGCAGGACAAAGGCTGGTGTGTGTGGTGCAGGAGAGGGAAGCTGCTTGGGCAGTGGTTGTGTGGGGCTCATCAGGGATGGGGCCCAAACCAAGAGGGAGCCCTTCCCAAGCAGCATTCTTCTTACACATCAGGGGCAGCTGCTCTCACCAGGACCTTGGACTTTGGGTCATGACAAAGCAGGCCAGAATCTAGGCAGCCAAACCCAGGGGAACTGTCAGATTCCCAGACCCAATTCCTTCCTTCACTTCCCTGTACACACCCAACAAATTATGTGAGAGTCCATAGCTCAGTGGCAGAGCACCTGCTTTCCATATGGAATGCCCCAAGTTTAATCCCTGGCATCTTCCAACAGGGCTCCCTAAAACTATGGAGACCGACAGCCAGCTCTCCAGTACTATACCAGTGGGTTACATGGACCACTGTTCTAATTCAGTATAAGGAAGCTTCTCATCTTCCAACATATGTGTATATGTGAGTGTATACATTTTCAGCCAGTGGCCTGATCCCGAAATTGGTTGAATTTCAGCATTGTGCAAGGACACACTAGTATGCTGTAATATTACGTCAACACTGTAGGGAGGTATAGCGGCACAGCTTCTAAAGATGAGAGTGAAATACTGAAAACACGCAATGATGGATCTTTTAGATTTCACTGACATTAAAAAGAGATTCAGTACTATGTATCAGAGGGGATCAATAGTTATTGTTGAATGAAAACAAACAAACAAAAAAGCAGGCAAAAATGCAGGAAGAATATACAGTCGGGGCAGCCCACAATTGCAGACACAGGCGTGGGTATGCACACCTATTCTCATGGCTCCTGCCTGCCTGCCTATCACATGGAAGATAAGATGGCACAACTTGGCCCTACCTATGAGAACTCAGTGCAAGAGCAAAGTGATGGGCCTTCTTTATACCAGGAGTGGCCCTGTTTTTTATTCAGCAGCTTCTCCCCAGGAGCTCAGCTAGCAGTCTTTTCTAATGCCAGTTCCTGAGGTCCTACATTAAAAAATGCTAGAGTTTTAACCCAGGACCTTGTGCGTACAAAATCTACCTGCCCAATCCACGCTGTGCAAGATTTGCCATACTGAGGTAGCCCCCCAGTGATCAGATGGAAGGAGGGAAAGCAAGCGGCTGACAGTGTTAACTGGCCCACAGCTTCACTGTTACCCGTCAGTCTTCAGGAAGTTGCATGAGTCAAGCACTTAGCTATTCAGAAATAATATCTAAGGGAAAGAAGTACATCATGTCCAAGACTCATTGAAGGGTCTGGAAGATTGTCAGAGTGATTCCTGATGAGACAAAAACTATCAGAGATCTAGTCCTCCCAGGAGGGTATTTAGTAGAATTTGCATGCTAGACTTTGGCACAGGATTTATGAGCAAAATATGCATCCCACTATTTGCTCCTCTAGGGTATTACACTTTGTTCCCTTATACTGCAATGTACTTATTGCTGCAAGAATACATGAATATATAAAATGCATTGCCAAAACTTACATTTACACACAATCTATTAATGTATATTCTAAAACCATTAGTAATACTTTTAAATATTTATTTTAAATATCTATGTTGCGTGTGAATGTGTATGTGTACATGTGTGAGCATGCACATCAATAATCTTTTGGGGAAAAGACCTTTAGATGTCAAGAAGCTATAAAATTCTCCTAGAAGTGAACCTTACTTTTTTGTCCTTGTTGTATTTATTGAAAATCTCCTGTGCTTTTTCTTCACCACCATCAGTAAATAACATTATAATCTTGTTGCAGTTAGCTCTGAAGACACTGTGGCTGTGCTGAAAGAGACAGAGAAGAGAACATTCAAGTTAAGGTTTATCAAACAAAATACTTCAGTATAGTGCACTATAATCAACTTTCAGAAACAATTTTCTGTTCTTTGGGATGAGGCTTTTCATATGTTGCATTTGTACATAGTCTAGGCTCCAAAGGATGATATTCTGGGTAAAAAGTATCAGTACTTCACCCTCTTATGATTCTTCCTGTGATTTCTAGATACATTGTCTAATCCGTCTGGTGGCAGCAGCAGAACAAGTTCCTTTCAGATTCTCTTCCATGATTGTGATTTTCCTACTGTGTACATAGGCTTTGACATGCATGCCTACGTATGATGCAATTCTTTTTGCAAGCCTAATACAGAAATCACTTATTTGAAGACCGGAATCTCTGCTTGCACCAAACCAAACAAAATTGAGTGGAGTATTCTTTTCTTTTAAAAAAATCCCCCACAATGGAACAGCTAAGAAAGCAAAACTGTAGCTCCAATCCATGGATAAGCAATTTGATGCCTTCCAGATGTTTTCATCTACAGCTCTGATAAACCCTTTCAACTGGCCACACTGGCTAGTGCTGATGGTCCAAAATCCCTGCAATGCACTAAGAACCCCTACCCTGATCTAAATACTGGTTTTATCCAATAATGTGGATATTTTAAATCCACATTATTTTAATATGTTTCATGTACTGCAAGTGGCCCAGGAAGCCCTCGGCAGTTATAGGTGGCCTATAAATACATGTATAAATATAAATGAACAAATAAACTAAGTCAGAGTGTTGGGCCTGGACTAGGAGATGCAAATCAAATTCCTACCCTGTCACAGAATGAAGAATGTAGCTCTGGCCCATTCATTAGCTTATAGGCCAACCTTACCACAGAAGTTACCATGAGGATAAAAGGTGGAGGAAGGGAAACACTACAACCAAACTTCATGGAAAGTCAGGATACCACTGGAATTAATAAATAAGGCTGTATACTCAATCCTTACTGATCAACCAGCAAACACCAAAGAAGCAATTTTACTACAAAAATATAAGGTCTATCAATAATTAAATATTTTATTGGCTGATATTTATTTCACTGAACAGATGCTTAATATCAGGATGGCAACTTTGATCTCCATATGTTTAATATTCTCCATCCAAGTTATACTTTATAAATACAGGTAAATAAGTATCCTCCAAGCTGTTAAGTTCATAATACCAGCACTATGATTTGGATGCAGAAATAAAACATTCATGAAGAAATGAATAAAAATGCATGGAGGTTGCTTTGGAAGTCTGTTATTATAAAAGAAACAAAAGTAAGCAAAATTGTTTCATAGATGTTGTAAATTGGCTGTGGTGATATTGCTTTGATGCAAATTCTGCAGTGATGTTATCTAAGCTTCATAAGCATATAAACTGGGCCGTGTCCTATGCAGTTAGTTCCTGCGAACATGCACAGTGATTTGAGTAAAGTGTTTCCATTTAGGCTGCATTTAATGGAAGCAAAGTTTCCTCAAACACAGAAGCATGTCTAGTTTAGTTTACTACACATCTAAACCAAACCTTGAAAATGGCTTCCTGAATCAGCGACATAAAATGATGAAGGGTATGTCAAGATATACTAAAAGTCAACTGACCCTAGCACTTTGCTACCAAAGTATCTTGGCCAGCAATGGTTCAAAATTAAATTACTGGCTCTGTCTGAATGTAAGGCCAAGCCCTGAGTCTGAGATTAAGATTTAACATAGTTTACCTGGATTTGGATGGTATGGCAAGCTGCAGTTAATAAAAATGGCTTCAGAATTCCTCCTTGTAGCCATGCAACAGGAGGAGTGGGCAGGAAGGAGGCTAATTTCATTCTCAATATGCTAAAGTCTAGTTAAGCAGTGCATCTGATGCCCAAACGAGCCCACTGCTGGGAGATCTAATAGTTAATTACTACAATTTTGCATCAGAAATTGCTTGAAAGGATATTTGTGCATGACTCAAGATCAGTGTGGAATGATTTATCGCGCCTAGCCATAACAGTAGACTTGTATCCTTTGTTACTGTAACATCATTGGCAAGCACAAGGCTAAATGGAACAACCACTGCTTTTCCTTTCAGCTATAGCTTACTTCCCACTAAAGTGGAAGTGCGGATGATGAACAACTGAAGCACAGAGGATTTTACAGCTCAAGTGAGTATGGGATTAAACTGATGCTCCTTCAAAAGAAAGGGACTGTACCTGTGCTAAATACATATACAGCTATGATGTATACTATAGAAAAATAACTTTTATATTAGTTCAGTGTCAGCTAAGGACATTGGGAACATGTTTTTCAGAATTTCATTATTTCATGATAAAATTAACACCCATCCATTGAAAAATTAATTCATTTTTAAGTAGTACAGAATGGTTATATCACTTTTTATTTTCCTGGAGTTGCCTGCATTTCAGGCCAATGATTTTGATGTATCCTGGGAAGTTTGAATATATCTGAATTATTCCTGATTTTCTGAACCACTTCTACACAGGATACTAATGATGGTCAGAAAAGGGGAGGGCCATGCAGAAAACCTTCAGAGAATGAGGCAGGGGTACTTGTACAGAACCACATATGGGATAGAAAAGTTGCAGTATAGGTGTATTGCTTCCTTCCTCTCTTTGGGATCAGCATGGGGACAAGAAGTTGGCCAGCAGGCACCACTTGTGGCTGCTCTGGTCTTCTTGAAGCTGAGGCAGGCTGAGAGAGCTTGGCAGATCAGGAGGTAGATGCTGCTGTTGGCGCACAGCAACACAAAATGGGTAGAGTCTGATCAAGATGGAAGTTCTCAAGCCAAGAAGAAAACAGCTGCTACTGCCCACTTAGATCCTCACCCGAGAGTTCACTCTTTCCAAAACAGGCAGGCTGAAACTCTGAAACTTCAAGTTCACTTCTAACACTGGGCCAAATTGGCCCAGAACATGTATAGTGCTATATATGTGCAACAACAACTGGATACTTTTAGGTTAGGAAACAAAAAGGGAGAAAAATCCAAAGTAGGGCAAAATACTCTTTTTTAAATCTCAACAGGCCTTCCTCCTCCAGTGATCACTGCTAAAATTAAATTGAACTGCCACGGCAAAAGGTTATTATTCTAAATTAGAGTGTCTTGTCAGTGAGCAGAGAAATGGTGGGTTGCAAAATGATGCACAAACAACCTTTCCCCTTTTTTAAATTCACCAACTCTTTTTAAATGGTTCTATTAAAAATACGTATTTTTGCTCTACCATCTATTTAGAAAGCAATTTTCTTCTGGATGTGAAGAAAATAACTCTCTTTGAACACATGAAGATGCCTAAAAATAACAGCCAGCTCCAGTGCTTTGCATTATGCATTTAAGATTATTTAAAACAATTTGGGTTACAGAGGGAACTGAAAGGGCTGGATTACTTTGCTTAAATCATAGATGTACATAAGGAAGGTGACATTTGTCTTTATCTCATTAAGCTTGATAATGTACCTTATATCAGCTAGCTGGAGGTAGTTTGCTTTCTCCTGGACTATGCAGTGGTTCCCATTTCTAAAATTTCACTGTTGTTGCTTACTCAATTCAACCACAGAAAGTTGAGAATTCTTCTAAATAATGTAGACTGTGAATCTACTTCTGCTTTCTTGGATGTAATCCCCATGAACCAGGGTGGGACTTACTCCCAAGTAAACCTGCAGAGGATTGCACAGGTCATCTCCTAGGTATCCCTGTGCGTATTGCAAAACTATTCATTCATCCAGAGTACTTTGCCAGCCAAAGCACACACAGCCATAACTTTTGCCCAAAGCCAAAACCTAAGCTACCATTTTTATGTTGTTTTATTGCTCTGAAGCAGTTGTACTCAGCCTTAAGAGCAACTATGTCTGAGTTGTACTCAGCCTTAACAACAATATCCATCACTTTTCCATTGAACTCTCCTGCCTCTTCATCTTCATTACATCTTAAGTCTTCACACAGTCCTCAGTACCGTTGCACAGTGCTAAGAACAGAAACTGACTGCCTGAGGTTCTGGATATTCACAGTGGGGCCATCCCACCTAATGGAACTACAGCTGGGAACAACCTTAAGAAGATCGGGTGCTTTGTTCTCCTCCTCTCCCAGTTATTGCGATTTCTAAGTTGCTGTTACAGCAGGCAACATCAGGCCAACCTAGAAGCTGGCACAGAGTTGTGCAAAAGGGAGAAGATTTGTGAATTGCCTACACTGAGATATATTTCTCCCTGCTACGATTGTTTTTCTGCCAAATCTAGCAAGAAGATACCTTTCTTTCAACATGGTTTCAAAGGCATTTCTTTAAACCAAATTTAGTAGAGTTTTTGAAAAGAGAAATTAACATACAAGAATAGATCAGCTTGTAAATAAAACTGGAGAAACAGTATTTGGTTTAATAATATCAATGCATTTGCTTATCAAAAAGTTTCCACCAACATATAACAAACTTCTTTCAGGATGCAGCTTTCTAAGACTTACATTTAGCAGCTGTTCAAAGGCATAACTGAAACCTTTTTTGTAATCAGTGATCCCTTTTGCTTGGATTTTATTGACAGCTTCTTTCAACTTTTTCTTATTCCTCACATTAGCTTGTACAAGATGGTTGAAACAACTGACATTCTGAGCATTTTCATTGAACTGAAAGAAAGAAAAAAAGTGGAGGTTAAACACAACTCAATGAAACACATGAAAGATTATACCGAACAGTTGTATATGAATGAATGATGAAGAAAATTATACAAATTAGTCCACACAGTAAATGACAGGTGTTTATCACCTGTGTATTTCAGCTGGATCAAAAAATCTGACTAAGTTCATCCTAGAAGCTTCCATTAACCCAATTAGATTTGGGGTTATTGTTTTTTTATTTTGAATGACCAACCAAACATGCCAATCCTGAATTACTTCTGAAATGCCCCAGTTACAAAAACAGGTGAGTAGGTGAGTTTGCACTGCTCCTTTTTAAAAGCTACTCTTGGGATTAGAAAATGAGCCATGCCGTTCTTTGGATCAAGACTGCTACTGATCATATGTCCTTTATATATATAATTTGAAATGTAATCATGGTTAGCACCCCTCCTCAGTGGAGAACAACTTGCCCACTTTGCTGCGGGTTGATTAATATTCCTGGAGGTGGGTGAACATGGCAAAAGAAGAATAGTTTTCTAATAGATACAACTATCAAGTTAACATTAGCTCCAGTGGACAAGTAATGTAGTGGATATATCCAAGGTCAGGTCAGAAAATGGTCGGCAACCATAGCTATAAGGAAAAAGAATGCAGAAGGTTATCTTTCATTAATCTGAGATGCAGTAAACTAAAGAACTGAATTTCTGTATTTTTCTGTCTATAAGATGCCGCCACATATAGGACACCCCCCCACTTTTCCTACCCATTTCCGGCGAACAAACTGCTGCCGTGCGGGCACACACCACTTCACTGCCCCCCCCCCCCCGGTGCCTTGCTGCCCCCCTGCCTGCCATACTGCTTCACCACCAGCCCACCTGCACTCACAACCACCCTGCCCATGCCGTTTCGCCGTCCCCCTGCGCACCGCCCCAGTCTCCCCCTCCCCACAGCATGCCCAGGGGCCCCCGTGTATAATATGCACCTTCATTTTTAAGTAAATGTTTTTAAGAAAAAGTAGCATCGTATACACAGAAAAATATGGTAGCTTGGACTCCAGACTAAGTGTTCCTTCCTCCTGTAGTATCAATTACAACACCACATTCAAAATGGTGCACTCTCCAAGGCACACTCACAATACGATCTTTGCCACAGTCATTTCAGAGAGGTGGCTGCTTTAAAACAGCAGTGTCTAATTCAAGAAGAAGCCCTGTCACTTAAGTCCAGCTACTGAAATGTCTTCATGTGAAGTGGGAGTGGAAGCTGATGTTTAACACACATATTTAGGTGGCATGTTGCTCTTTCTTGCTCTGTTAGAAAATGAATGAATGGTTCCTTGGTCCACATGTGAACATCATAGCATGGGATAAGAGGGAGGGCCAGGCCTGCTGAGGCACTTAAGAAGCTGCCTTACCAAAGTCAGGCCACTGGTTACTTACTGGGTTTACTTACTGGGTTTTTTCAAGCCCTATCTGGAGATGCTGAGAATTGAACCTAGAACCTTCAGCATGCAAAGATTCTTCTCTATCCATTGAGCTCTGTCCACTGAGCATCCATAGCCTTCCGGTGGATGTCATCTGGACTTGAGAGAGATGGTCTAAAGAAGGAAACCTGCTGCACGAACTAGACACACACCTTCCCCCAGTGTAGGACTGTGCATTATCAGGATTTTAAAGGTGGCAGGGCATATATGTATAGCACATTTTCCAAGTTAATACATTTTCCCCCATTCTGTGGATTATCATATGGAGAATGTCTGGAAAAGGATGTTTTGTGGATTTTGGAGGCCTTTAGGAACACATTTTGGAACCTTCAGCAGACCAAGAAATAATCCATGTATCTGTAAGCTAGTGTCATTGTTTGCTTGCTTGCTTGCTTGTTTAATTTCTATACCACTCATTAATCCAGACAACCCACTATCCCATGTATGTATACATGTATGTATGCATGAAATTAATTTTTACCCTGCTTGTCCAATGAAAATGGTGCTCAGGGGAGCTATCCATTGCATTCCTCATCTACAGAACAACAAATAAATTCAGAACAACAAATAAATATTTTGGATCAGATGCATTTACCACATTGGCATATTCTCTACTATCCCCTCAACAGAACTCTTGATCATGTTCAAGAAGAGGGCCTGATCAACGTCCAACAATCTATCCACTATACCCTGTACAACTCATAGAGTCATTCAGCATTTTTTTAAATCTCTGCTGTAACTTTATTTCTTAGTATCAAATCAGCAAGCTTACTATGATGACTTTACTACAAAAAGGAATAGTGCCTAAAGCCATGTAGGCTTACAGCAGTGACACTGCTGTCTCTCTGTGTGTTTTTTTTAAAGCACCATATTCTAATAAACTATTCAGGCATTCAGATTAAAAACTGCCTGGTTTTACAGCTTAAGAATTACATGAAATATGTGTTTGAAATTATCTCATATTTCAGAGGATCCCAAGGAGTTGCCAAACATTTTGACTTTGCTATTACTCTCTGCTTCTAAAAAGCTAGCAAAATACAAATGAAATGTGGAAATTGATTCCCTTCATCTTCAAATGGAGATCTAAATTGCCTCTCTTTAAACCAGTGATCCTCATGCATTGAGGCAGTCTGAAAGAAATAAGACCTTAATTCTCCAGTCCAACACAAGTGATATTAGGAGAAAATCCAATAATAAATGATGCCTATTAGCCTTGTCATGAAGGAGTGTTGCTTTTCTAGTTGCTTTTTCTAGCTTAAACCACCAGGTGGCAATCTAGTAAAATAAGTATGCTCCAACAGGGCTTTAAGCTTTTTCTAAGGGAAAGCTTTTAATTCCTTTCTAAATTCCTTCTACTTAGAACATCAGGCTCTGTCCTAAAGCCTATCACAAAGGACAGCGATCAGCCCAAGACTTGGTGGAGCAATAATACAAATAGTTCATCTGAGCATGTGTAGACCTCATTTTGTTCCCATTTAAGAAACTAGAGAAACTGGATTTGAGATTAAAGGAATAAGGTTTCCAGGTTGTGCCTTTACCCAATCTATATAATGCTTGGAGCTGTGCTGTACACACCCCTCCCAGTCATATTTTCTGCCTGCATGATAAAGGGTGAAATTGTATGCATGGCTAGGCAGAAAGAAGTCTTGAAACTCTCAGAATTCCCTAGCCAGAGAGGAGTTCTGGTAGTTATAGGACTTTTTTGTCTAAATATGCATAGGGTTGTGGTTTAAGGCAGTTTGTCGTATGAATACCCTCCCATTAAGATGTGGGGTTCTAGCATAATACATGCCCACATTGCATATTCAGCAACTGATGCTTTGCCTCTATAAAATAGTAGACATATGTAATTCATCTTGCTTTATGTCTAGACATTTTTCTGCCATTCCGTTTGCTGGCATTGCACATTCAACAAAGAACTTTCGCAATCTGTTATGTTTCTAAATACACATTTCAATGTGAATTTTTTCTTTGCAGCACCCTTGGGCAATTACTTTTCACCCTGATAACTACTGCATAAACATGACCAAATTAACATGCATCAAGAACAAACCCCATCCCAAACCAGGGAGAGGTATCTCTGTCCTGCTGCTTGCCTTTTGGCCTGCAGCCCTGGCACAGAACAGCACTGTGAGACCAGAAGAGCATCTTGGTATATGCTGTATTTGCTAGCAGTGTTCTCACACCTTCAGGAGACCTTCATAAGAACATAAGAAGGGCCCTACCAGATCAGACCAAGGCCCCATCTAGTGCAGCATTTTGTTCACACCGTGTTCCATCAGCTGTCCAGGACACACGTGGAACAGAGCCCTCTCCCCACGTCCTCCAGCAACTGGTTTACACAAGTGTATTGTCTCTGATGCCAGAGAAAACACAGTCAGTGATAGCCTTCCTCGCCATGATTTTGCCCAATCCCCCTTTAAAACCATTCAAATTGGTGGCCATCCCTGTATCTTGGGAGTGAATTCCAATCCTACGATGTGAAAAACTACTTCCTGTTAGCTGTTCTGATTCTCCCATGAATCAGCTTGCAATAGGGTACTGGAGTAAAGCACTGGTGCAGCAGGCAAAACACTCAATTCTATGCATTTAACTAGTGCAGAAAATCAAGGACTGTAAGATGTCTAGGACGAATTAACAACAGCACAATCCCATGCATGACTACTCAGGAGTAAGTCCCACTTCAGTTAGTTCGGTGGGATTTACACCCAGGTAAATGTGTGTAGGTTTTAGAAGCTATACCAACAGAAAGTGAATTGTGTCTGGATAATGACTTCCAACACATGACTCTGATACATGGGGAAATCCTATACCTTTAAACTCATTCAAAAGAAAGATATTGCGGCATTCAGCTATTGCCTTGGGAATACAGAAATGTGAAAATAGATAGCCAGCATGTTGCTAGCCTAATCAGATTTTGCTGCGGCTGATTTTTCAATCTACCAAGGGTTGTTGCGGTCTTGCTCCTACCTCTATGGCTAAAGCAGCTTGATGACCCAGCTGTATCTATACATATTAAATGAGCAGTAGTGAAATATATCTAATTCCAAGAGGATTTTCCTTGTAACTAAATCCAGCTTTGCTCATTTCCTTTGTTTGGGTACGCATGTCTGCATGTTCAGTAATAGGATCTTAGCCATTACTGGCATTTCTAAACCCCACATGCATTTGAGCAGCTAGATTGAGGTATTGCTTTTGAAGGAGCTTTGGTGAACAAAAGGGGAAAGAGTGTTCATTGCAAGACAAATCCTAACATGTATTCCAAATCAATGAAGGATCAGGAGTAAGTAGGAGTGGAACTGGAAAAGCATGAGCAGTTTACTGCTTATGCAACAGAACTGTCTCCTTTCCTCCTTCCAAATTTACAAAGGGGCCTGAAAACACACACACACACCCCACTGTTGCTGGGAATGCATTGGATAGGGTGCAATGGAGCAGATAGCAAAGGGTTAACTGCTTTTCTGGCATTAGCCAAGGACCAACAGAAAAGAAGGGGTAGGGGACCCACTAAAGAAGAGGAAATTCCCAG